GTTAGCGGCTGATTCCCGGAGCAAGAACAAGCCTACTAGTCATCCATTCTGAATATGGCTCCATATTACTCCCTTTGTAAAGAAACATAAGATCGTTAGATTACTAAAATAGTGATCTAAACTATCTTCTATTTCTTTACAGAGGGACTATGTTTTAAACTTAGAATTCGTTGGCCAGGACAAATTTACAGCGAATTTCCTTCTCGCCCTTCATTGGATCACTGAATTCCAGCGTCAGGTAGCAGACCTAGTCCAAGAAAGATAGTAAAAAAGAAAAGACGAACTCGATGGATAACCCACCTAACTCGAGGCCGCACGCACGTACCGATGCTGCCCCATTTCAGCATCCGAGATTTCGCACGATTTATCAGTATTGTGAGAAAAATATGCGCATTTGATTGGTGTACAGAAGCTGCCAACATGTTCTGTTATTCTTTCAGACATTCCACAACAGAAATCAGCAGCGCAAAACCAAAACATGCACTTCTGACAGAATCAGACAAATGCAGGGAGACTAAGAGAAAAAGTCTGGAAGTTCTCAGTCTGTTTTATTCTTTCGGGCACAAACAGCAGCAGCAGCAGCAGCAGCAACATGGCCCGTGATTCCACAGAAAACGCTATTACCATCAGAAAAATGTAGGAAAACCACGGAGAAAGTATCCAATGGAAAGCCAAGTCACGATGACAACTCATATAAATCACATTTGGGAGTTGATGTTATGCAAACACATGAATTTTGATATTTCGAACCCATGTTCATTCATGAGACAAGAAAGGATATATGTTTATCACTATTCATCCATTGTTGGATATGGTTTTTTTTTACACCTCTCAAGTGAATTTTAATTCTTCACTTGATTTTTCACATGTTTGTAGAGCATCACCTCTCCAGCATAATATATATCTGTTTCCAGAATTTCTAGAACATTTGAAACACACCTTGTCCAGCGTACTCGGTTTCCACCCGGATTTATTTTTTCTTCAAACCACTATGAACTCTGTGTGCAGAAACAGCATCAAGCCCTATGTATATAACAACAAACAAACCCATCATGCTGCCGAAAAGGGTACAAGCCCCTTGATTTCACCGCATCCCAGAGGAACAAAGCTAAATAAACAACCTTATTATTTCCACCTACCAGACTGAGACTGAAACAGCACACCGCTAACTGTCGTAAACACAACAACAAACATCTTTCAGCAGAACAAACAGATGGAGGGTTAAGCCTTAACACTTCTACTACACTTCACATTGCTACAGAGACGGAAAGACCGCGCTCTCGCACGAGCTCAGTCCTTCTTGAGGAGATCCTCCGGCTCGCGGAGGGTGCCAAACAGCCAGTCCATCCACACGGTGTAGTGGCCGTAGTTGTGCCGGTACGTCGTGTGGTGGATGGTGTGGTAGCCGGCGCCCATCACCGGCCAGATCTTGCCATGGATGCAGTCGTGGATGTTGGCCGTCCACACCGCCTCTATGAATAACAGAGCAATGTGCGTCCTGAAGTGCATCGGGAGAAGGAACAGAGCAATCACGTGCGATATGGCTTGCAGTATCCCGTCCAATGGATGGAATGCTAGTCCTGGAAGGAACAAAACGCGTAGGTTAGAGCTGTCCCTAATGAAGAGGCAATTCTATTTCTACCCGTCAGAGGGGCAAAACATTAAATTAAAGAAGCCCAGTGTCTGCCGCATTCTGAATAATTACTCCGGAGTACAAATAAACCATTATACTCAAGTATACTGAAATACAGATAGCGCCATAAGAACAATTATAAGCAAGGGATTAATATTTATCAGCAATGGATTAACATTTCACAAGAACAAGAAACAGGAACGGTAACTTAAGCTAAGCCCGTTTTCTAGAACCCTTGTTCATCACTGTTACAGCGAAGTTATATACTCTAGCACATCTAGCACAGAAGAAGAAAAGAGATGCATTTGCCATATTCAAGAATCAACAGCTCAATAAGAACTTACCAGCAAATGGTGATAGGGTATTCTCCTTGTTGTAAATGTGGTGGGTTGCATGTAGATGCTTGTATAGTGGCTTTATGTCATGCAACTCTCTGTGCATCCAGTAAATTCCAAACTCCACAAAGATGAGATATAGAGACACATAGACAATGTACATGGGCCAACCAACTTCGCTGATATGAAAGAAACACCGTGTCCATCCACTCTCAATCATGTGCTCAGATACGGATGGAAGAGCACAGTAGAAAGGCATAGCCTTTGATGCAACAATTATTTGCTTCTTCATAGCTTCTACTGTAGGGACAGCATCTGCATCAAATAACATAATGTTTCAGCAACACGTTCTATAAATCCTTATCAAATACACCTATACACAAGGTTTCAAAATTACTCGAATAAATCCATAGGACGAACAGGGAAATCGAGCAGAAGTGAAGTGGGTGTGATAATTGTGGCACTTACTGGCCATTTGGAGTTAAAGAATGAAGACAAACCATATAAGCAAATTTATCTTACAAAGTACTTTCATAACATGCAACATTTGGCAGCATATTATGATTAAGATTCATAACTAAAATGCATTGGAGGATATGGTGGTGAGAGTCAACAATTTGTGAGCAGAACAAAAAATAAATAGCATTTCAACCTAATTAGACCTCAGCCAGCAATTAAGGGGGTGAGAGTCACAAACTTATAAATAAATGAAGGTTATTATAAGTGATCTGTATGAATCTTGTGTTTTGATTGGGCCTGCGTGCCTGATGTTGATGTCAAGTTTCGCAGTAGTTAGCTCAGGCTGGTAGAGAACTACTACGTCCGTCCTATAATATAAGGGAAGTGTCAAAAACGTTCTTATATTATGGGACGGAGGGAGTATTTTATTTCCATGAACCTGTTTGGGTCACACTTGCCTGACAATGTTGTGTTATCAGTTTAATTGCGAAATGAAATTGGGAGCAGAGATCTCCTAATGTAAAAAAAAAAATCTGTGTGCAGCAAACATTAAAATTAAAATCTAAAGCACCATTTGGTTCCAGCAAATGTCCTACAACCAAAACCATGCCAGCACATGACGTTTAAAAGAAAGCTCTGCTTCCAGACTACAACACACTAAATCACATCAAATGAAAAATATATTACAGTGATGATGAACAAACAAATTAGACTAGCAGCTTTGCTTGCACAGAACAGTATCATGTAGCAAACTGGAATTCAATTTCCAAAGAAGCAGGAATTCCAGCTGAAAAGGTTCTATTACAGTTGTCTCGAACCTAAGAAAAACAAAAAGCATCTTGGTCCCATAGGACAATCAAGTCAACAATCGCTAGACACAAGTGTACACCAGAGAAGATAGGCTGCCATATCCTTTTTGTTAGTGTTATCTGAAAGAGACACCCTGCCTTTCTTTAGCTGTGAATTCAATTATGAGTTTTTGTTCGAGAAGATAGGGTGCCATATCCTTCTTATTACTGTTTTCTGAAAGAGACACTCTGCATTTTTTAGTTGTGAATTCAATTATGAGTTTTGGTTCGAGTGGTCCAGAACGTGGGTGCACCCAGAACATCATGCAATTATCTCCATAAAGATACAGGAGTTAGATAAATATCTATCACACAGGTCCCCCATCTATTCATAGTACCGGAAGACGAGCTGTCTAGTATGAGCATATGCACGATTGCAAGGTCCTGGACGTTTCAGAAAATGCCCAGGAGAAAGCATAGCAAGAAGTAGTATCTGCAGTTCAGTAAAATAGAAATAAAATATATTTTCATATGCCTTCTTTTTGGAGTTGGAGGAGTATTTAAGCATAAGCAAACACGGAAATTGACGGGTTGACAGAGACGACCATTTGTTACAATGTGATAGAGTCATGACGAGTATGAGGATATGCCTGATTGCAGACGGGTCATGACAAGTATGGAGGACATTTCAGAAAATTGCCCAGGACAGAGCATAAATCAGCAAGTTGTAGCTGTACTACTGTACTATTTAAGCAATGTTGCCAGATCGACAGAGACCTCCATTTGTTGCCATGTGATTGAGCTAAGAAGCCGGCAAAAGTAATCAATTAAAACATGATGCAATCTGGCAAGGCATTAGAAAAACGCCCCGAAAACGTTGGCAGTCTAAGCATACATCAGCCGCTTAAAAATGTTAGTGGTCTACATCTCTGTCATCTAACTTGGTTCGCGATCTGACCGAGGACACAGAATTTAAGTGGCACCAATCAAAAGGCAGACCTTTTGAACAGCTTGGTTAATTATGCATCCATGCTACTGATTACTGAATGCTACGCACCTCAACCAAGCAGTGATAAAACAGGAGGTTTGGTTCCAACTAGGTAGCAAATAGCAGTTCAATCAAGCAACAAGCTGCTTATTGTTGCTTGAAAAAGCAGCAGGAATGGACTTCAGCGATCTGTTTCGACAGAGAAATATTTGTTCAGCCGATCTTCGTGACCATCGACGAGCCAGCAGACAAATCCAAGATGTGACCCCAAACCCACCTCATCCAACAACCAGACTGGGAGGTAGGAGCTGAGCCCAGGCGGAGCACCTGGCGGATAAATCACCACGAAGCCCCCCGAATCGTGAGCAGTGAACTCCAAACGGACCACTGATAATTGGGGATCGAAAAGCGGCGGCATTCCTTTCCCTCACCAACCAATCAAACCTCTCGCCGTCATTTTCTTGGCTCACGGGACCAGTGAAAGAGGCCGAAGCCCAAATCCCTTTCACGGAACACGCTTAGCCCCAGTAAATCATCCTCCTCGGAGGATTAGAAGAGCCAATCAACAGGGGGAGGGGGAGAGGGATTGATACTGCTGGTACTGGGATTCTAGGACGGCATGGGGGGAGGGGAGGGGTTAAGGAAAGGCGGGACCTTTGGGGATGTAGGCGTTGCGCTTCCAGTAGTAGATGACGAAGCACCAGAGGAAGCCGGTGGCGAAGTAGAGGAGGTAGCCGCCGATGCAGTTGCGCAGCCAGGAGCGGAGCGGGTGCGGCAGCGCCCGCCACCAGCCGCCGCCGCCCGGCACGACGGCGCTGAGGAAGATCTCGTTGTACCAGCCCGTCTCCTCCCGGAACAGGCCCCAGTAGTCCTGCTCCGCCGCCGCCGCCGCCATTGCCGGCAGCCGTGGGAGTGTCTGGTGGGTGGAAAACGTGGGGGGAGGGATGCTCGGTGGCTGCGGGGTGGGGTTTTAAAAGGCAGGGTGGAGGCCGGTGCGATCCGGACACCAACACCGCGGCCGCATGTGCCCAGGTGGGGCGGGGGTCTCGTCTCGTCCCCGTCCTTTGTGTTGCCCGAAGGAGGGCGTGACAGAAATGCCGGCGACTCAGGGGCGCTGGATCCATGCCGTGGGAATCATCGGCTGCCAAAAATTGTTCGGTGGCCACTCGGTTTTAACCTTGACGGCTAGCTAAAATTTGATGAATTCATATCGGCATGACGCCGTTCTCGTCTTGTATACACACCCATGTGACATGATAACCGTCGATTTTCTTTCGGAGCACGCGTACGGTTCTAATAAAGCATTAATTAAATATAAGATACCGTAGAACGATTGCTCTGCGGTTCTCGATTCGAAAGAAAAAGAAATACATAAAATTATGTGATAGGAAAAATATATTTTACTATAGGTGTGGCGCCATCGGTTTGTTATTCCCGTTGTCGGAAGTCGATGGTCGAGAATACTTCTATTTACTAACACACGTCTCAGAATATTTAACTAGCGGGTTTCATCGCGGATCGTCCTCCCACTCTCATCGCTGTCTAGATCTAGTATTGGCGGATGAGGCACCGCCATAGTTCAATTAGCCTAGGCTCTAAACCTTGGAAGGGGCTCATTACATGTCGCCACCGTCAATTAGCCACCCACAGTTTTTACCAACTCTATCTCGACAATCACCCCCTTAGGCCTTCCTATCCTTTTGTAAATTTCATTTCCAATTCGTTGTGTTTCTATATACTCCTCATTGCTCGGATTAAATTTCGAGACAGTTGCTCAAATCCCCCTTCCGCTATTCTTAGGTCCGCCTTCCCCTTATTGCTCAAAAATCAAATTATTCGTGTTTATAGAAACACAAACTAACAAGTGAATACGTCGATTCTCTCATGGCAGGCGTCGCCTCACTTCCCCGCTCTTCTCTTTATTGAGGACAATACCGTGATTGGAGGTGTTGTTGTTCTTCTCCAACTTCTCCTCTGCTGCTACACATCCAACGCTTCACAATAAATAAATCGTGGCGGCGCCTCTCATTTCTTTCTTGTTTTAGTTTTATTTTGTCATATTGAGGTCTCCACGAACCTATGGGCAGTGATGAAAACGAAATGGACTTTCGTCCATTCCAGAATATATGGAAACATAATGAAATGGAAACGAAAATAAAAATGTAAACTCACAAAAGAAACCGGAAAAGAACTACTCATCACAACCGGAGTATTATTTTCTTATGGAAATGGAAACCAAAAATGAAACATCTTTTTCCGGTGCAAACATTGGCAGAAATGGAACATGTGGAAGTTTTTGTTTAACAGAACATCATGTCTTGGTGGACACTATAGGAAATGAAATATCAGTATCTGCACATACAAAAATTTCTATTTATTTTGTTTGTACAACGTACCAAGTTCAATCCATGCGCCCCTTAGGCCCAACTCAATACGTACTTACCATCAAAAGAAAATCCTTCCTGTGATTTGTCTCATCACACCGCTCTTTCCAGACAACATATCTTATCATGCTACTAAAACTGGACACTTATGCATAACTAGTACTCCATCCGTCTGTACATCTAGATACATCCCCTTTTATTCATCTTGATGACAAGTATTTCCGGACCGAGGGAGTAATAATGTACGTGCAATGCACGTTTATATTAGGTAGGATATTAGTTGCACGTTATATTATGTAAGATATATTTGTTGCTCGTAGGTATTTGGTAAGATATGAATTACTTATTCGCGGGAATGATAGGATATTAATTACATGGCAGATTTTCAAGAGATAGCGTTGAGTTAAAACGTTTATAACCAATGGCAGTGGTGGATAATTAGAGCGTTAAACGTGTTTGGTGCTCAACATTGGAGTGATTTGAACCGCTAGATAACATGATTTGATGGCCGGGATGGTTTGGATCCGCTCATTTGGGTCTTTTTATATAGATAGATAGTAGTCATAATAGCAATTGAATTTGATGGTTTCAATATGCTTTTAGGTATGCCATAAGAGATTCTTCGGTTTCCAACGAATATTCGCTTTGCATCGGCATATATGTCGTATTTGCTTTGTCTTTGTTTCAGGTAATATCTGCTTTCATATTCTTT